CTTCAGCAACTTCAAGTAACTTTTACAATTTATTCGTTCATAATTGGACAAAGAAACAAGAGAAAGTCCCAAGTCCCAAGAAATACTGCTGTATCTTGCAAAGAGTCCTAAAATTATTAAGATTCGTTGAGCATTTCGTAAGCATTTCTTGAGCATTTGACTGAGGTGATGATGTACAATATTGAGATGACCCTCTTATGAATGCATGACAAAATCTGGAATTAAATGATTTTAATTAATGTCTCAATACCTTCCTTTTCTCTTATGACATTCTTACGAATGTCTTACAAAGGTTGCAAAAGAAAGAAATGTATTGAGACAATGTTATGGTCTTTTGAACTTTGTCACACATTTTTAAACTCATTAAAAACAGCAAATTCTTGAGAAATCAATTTTTCGACTGTGCAAACTTTGTCAAGCATTTGTAACAAAGTTGTATGAGACAGCAACATATTGTGATGGCAATGTTTCGGTCTTACACACTTTATCAGACATTTGTTAGAAGGTCGTAAAAAAGCCAGTGTTTAAAGACAGCAACGTTACAAACTTACGAACTTCAGGCATCTGTAAAAAAAAGATCATAAAAGATGGCAACTTATAGAGACATCAATCTTTTGGCTTTGTGAACTTTCTCAGACATTTCCTAGAAGGTTGTAAAAGGAGGCAATGCAAATACAGCATTGTTAAAAACTCGTAAACTTCAGGTATTTGTAAAACGATGGCAATGTATTAAAATGTGAACATTTTGCCTTACCGGCTTCATCAGGCATTCATACAAAGGGTCTAAGACGCAGCCTTTCAGTATTGAGAAAGCAAGATTTTGGTATTTTGAACTCCATCAGGCATTTGTACAGTAAAAATGGTGTAAGAGACAGCAACGTATTGAGACAGCAACTTTCAGACTCACAACCTTCGTGAGACTTCTGTCACAAAAGACAGCAACATATTGAGACAGCTACATTTTGACGGTCTTAAGACCTTGACCTTGTTGTCTCAGTAAAATAATGAATATTTTGCAAGATCTAGCAACTTTTTGTCTGCCATTGCTAACTTACCTGCCTACAACATTTCAGGTGGGTGAGGGGTGTTTATTGTGTTTGATTGTATTCTATCAAAACAATATTAGCTTTTTAAACTATGTTAAGCTTTCTGATACCGATCATTGGCTGAAAACTAAAAAAAAAAAATTCTTAAAATGTGCAGCATGCTTTATGACCTCCTCAGAGATTGTGGTTGCCCATAGTAGACTACACAGATCCAGTTTATAACTGTAACCAGTGTAGCTTCAGGCTGATCAGATACATTAGAGGCCCACTGCTGTCTACAGCCAATCAACACTAACCTTACTGTTGCCTCTGGGTGTTAACTAGTTCTCTGTTTTGAGAAAATACAAGGTCTACACTCTGGCATTAGTAATGTGAAAACTTTTTTTCTTTGAAAGGCTACTACAGTTTCTTGGCTCCATTGGCTAATTGCTTACACGTTGCACATAAATAGTGTCTAATGTCTTCTGCCTTTCTAAATCAGTTTGCTGGACCCCTGACATTATGAAACACTTGGGAAACGTTAACCAGATTACATAACCACTTGGAGTGGCTTGACATCCACAACAAAGAAATGAGTGGCAAAACATGATCAGCATGCTGTGATTGCCTAAATCTACTCTGCTCATTTGACCTCTCGAAGTCTTACGCAATGTCACGGCCAGTACCATTTCTTGATTTCACAGGGCCGGGACGAAAGTTTTATGGGTGGACCATGAGTCACAGGCCCTCCTTGTTGTCCTGGTCAAGGGAATTTTTATAAAGTATTGATCAGACAGACGTTATCACATGGTCTTCATTTCAAGTACACAATAACAGACTTTTTTACAACGATAAGATATTACATAATTAAAGGCATTACTTGAGTTTTTTTCTTCAGACATTTACTTACGCAACTTGACAAGTACAAAACCTTGAGCAAAAGAGAGAGAGAGCAAGAGCTGGAAAGAGATACAGATAACAGGAATGAGAGGGAAAGAAAAAAATGATCCCATTATTATTTCACCCTCCAGCCTTCAATCCATCGTGGGGAACATCCTGTGGAGAACGCTGGCTTTAAAACAAGGGACTTTCTGTTAAGACTCATTACAAATTATTTTGTTTTTCTAAATTTATCTCCAATAATATTATGGACTATTTAGGGACAGAATGAGCGATTGTTCTTCATACAGCGTTGATGATGCCCTGAGGGTTTGAGGAAACTGTACTTGTGTGTTTGACTGGATTACTTGAAAAAGGTCAAACAGGCATAGAAGAAATTCTCTGACTCCAAAAAGCGAGAATATCTATTTTCGCTGCAATTATGATGCAAAATAGCATGGTCACGTGGACAACACAGACACTGGCAAAACTACTTCTACACTCCACAGCTCTTACATAAATATGTTTCTAATCACAACGCTGGAAGATGTCCAACATGGCCTCAAATAACTCTGTGCAGGCTTTAGGTCATAACTCTCCATTAAGACAAGATAGCCACAGCTCATCCTTGCGTCCTCTAAAAAGAAAATGATATTAGCTTTTTAATTTATATCCAAAGCTCTGCACAAATTCTGCAAATAATGTTATAAAACAGATTGTTCCAGTCTTTGTTCCAGATTGTTCAAGCTGTGATAAAATATAGCTATAAAATATTATTGCTGTTATAAAACAGCTATATGATAAAAAGCACCAATGTTTAATTTATTAATAGCTGGAATAGCCTGTAAGTAATACATTTAAGAAGTTGTAATATAGCTTTTTTTGTTGCCAAATTGGTGAAGAAATATTCTGTGTCCAAATATACAACCCTTTGCAATCCCTTTCATTTGAAGTATTTCAAATGAAGTGTGATGTCTAAAAATGCATGATAGTAGAAAAATCCTAAAAATGACCTTATGCATTCACAGAGTTGAATATACAGGTCAAATGTCAATGCAAATATGCCATATATAAAGTGTCCAAAATATAATATGTCCAAAAATGTATTTATATTACACATATGCATACCTAAAGAACACACTGATTTAAGAGGAAAGTTCTTCACAAGGTTATCAAAATACAGGAATTGTACAGTACATAATAAAAAAATAGAAATAAAAACAATTATACCACAGTAAACATTTTATTAAGCAAATTCATTAAGTTACATCATTGTGCTAGAAAATTCCTTGATATAACTGTTTAATATTACATCTCTATGGGTAGCTAGGTTTTCTTACACTGTGTGTTTTAGTATGGCTGCAATGCTGTTTTGACCGATCAGCAACCAACTGTTTGCAATGCAAGATTAATTAATTAATTTGTTTAATGAAATCCTTTCATAATAATGCATAAATGTAAATGCAATAAGGCACTCAATGCCATGGTGTATTGTGAATGTACCTCTGGTGTGTTGTCCCTATATATATATTATATGATTCACAATATAGTACAGCCTCTCACATGTTATTGCTTAATAAATATCATGCAGCAAGGCTGTAAACCTGTGCTCTGTCAAATATTGTTCTTGCATAACTAGGAGGAAGTCCAAAATTCGCAATGAGGATAACCAGCTATGAGTTGTTCCAGAACTAACCTAGATTATGCAACCAAAACATGCTATGCTTTTAATAAATACTGCCCTTCAGAGAGTTTGCAAATGTTTTATTATCAAAACCTTCAAAAAAAAAGATTTGATTGAAATTTGTGGACTGGCCTGCCCTGCATATTGAATACTACGTCTTTGTACTGTGTACTTGACCACTGAGAAAATTAAATCGAATGAAATTGGAATAAAAACTTAGAAGATGAAGTCTGTCTCTCATGGAAACTTCTGAAATGACAAATAAGGAATTGCAAAAGAAATAGTGAATAAAAAACATATAATAGGACTGGACAGTGTTATAACCCTCAATTTGACCTGAAGTCTCTAGGTAGCCTCTAGCTGTCAGGAGAAGATCAAGAACTTCTGCAGAGCTCTCCTGATCTGTATTTTCTCCTCAGGCTTGCTGTCTGGAATCATATCCGCACTGTGTAACGCACTCAGGTGCACTTCTGGTCTCTTGTCCCTGACCTCCTGCAGCCCTGCCTGGGTCACGTTGCGACAAAAGTCCACTTTCACATCTGTGAGACTGTGGCCGTGGTTCACCACAGCCCGGAGGACAGAGTCAGTCATCCGAGCGCAGTTTTCTAGACTAAGGCTACGTAGCCTCATGCAGCTTTGTAGCACGTTAATAACATTGCCGTCCATGATGTGCCCACATCCAGAAAGAGTCAGCGAGAGTAGATTCGGACACCTAAAGAAACAAGAAGCAGAATTTTGTCATGCTAATAGACAGGAATAATAATTGAAACATTTAATATGCAGTGCATACATGGTTGTTTGCTATTTATGTAGACTGGACAGGTAAATTAATGAGTAACAAACAACTGTCTGTTACAGCTGACGTGTGTAATTTCTGTGCTGCTTGTTTTCAAACAGGTTTCCCCGAACCTGCCCCCTGAATGTCACTGGTCGATTATACTGATAGCCCCACCACCAAACTCATGCCATTGGTTGAGTCAGTGTTGCTAGGCAGACTGGTCAGGATAAAAAAAAAGAGCAATGTTTTGAAAGACAGTGTTTATATGTTGTGGGATTCGATATACAAGTGACTAACTTACAGATGTCTTTGCATTTTAGACTTGAATAGAATAATGTCATTTTAAAACTATACTCATGTACAAAACTGTCACATTTGGAGGTAAGGATGAGGTGAGGCCTCAAATGGAGAATGCACAGGTTTTATTAAATAATAAATTAAAACAAAAAACAAACAAAACTACATAATGGGGGAAAACATAACTGCAAGGCAAACACAAGGGAACATATGACGACGAACTAGCACAGGACAGAAAACACTGGGAGAATAAATAGGGAAGCAAACAAGGAGGGAAACGAGGGATGACAGGTGGAGCAACTAAAGCAATAATCAGGTAACAAGATGTGTGGGGTTACACAATAGACATGAGAGCACATGACACATAGAAACAAAACCAAAGCCATGTGCTCACACAAAACATAACAAGAACACGCGGCCAATGAGAACTGACGAGCCACATGCTAAACCAATCACGCCAACACAACAACCAACGAAGACACTAGAGCTCACGGTGAGGAAATGAACCTCCCCTCAAAAGGGACACCCCCTGACATCCCCAACGAGGCCTGAGCCATGGGGGATCCAGCGAATCAGAAATTCTATGACCAGGGCAGACCTGGAGGGACAGACCAGGAAGGCTCGGGCGTGTCTGGAGTCCCGGCTGAGGGCCAAGGCGGATCTGGAAGGACGGACCAGAAAGGCTCACATTTGTCTGGAGTCCTGGCTGAGAGGCAGGGCAGAGCCGGAGGGATGGACCAGGAAGGCTTAGGCATGTCTGGAGTCCCGGCTGAGGGCCAGGGAGGAGCAGGAGGGATTGAACAGGTAGGCCCTGGTGGCGCAG